CATACACCATGACACCTCCCTTTGATATGCCGCATCAGTTCATCCATCATCAAGGCAAATAAAACGGGCTAAGAGCTGATCCCTAGTGCAACCCCATCTTGACTGGAAAGAGTTTTAAGTCTCCTCCCTCTGCCCTTACCTAGGTCTTGGCTCTATCATACATGTCCTTAACCAACCTAATGTATGCAACATGTACACCTCTAGGCTCTAGCCTCCAAACATCTCCATAGAACCACCCTAGGGACTTATCATATACTTTTTGTAGGTCAATGAACACGATATGTAACTCTCTATACTGCTCCGCCAATCTCCTTAAAGGGGAATGACTTCTGTAGTTGATCACCCCCAAATATATTTGAATTGGTTGTCGGTGATAGATACACCCCTCCTCACCCTAATCTCCACCACTCTCTCTCAAACTTTCATAGTGTGGCTTAGTAAGCTTGATACCTCTATAGTTGCAATTTTGAATATAACCCTTGTTCTTGTACAAAGGGATCATTATACTCTACCCCTTTCTTCGGGAATTTTTTGTCGTCTCTAAAATAACATTAAACAACCCAGTTCACTCCATAACTGTCTTGCCTGCGGTCTTCCAAAATCCCATCGGCGTATTGTTTGGCCCGGGCGCCCTCCCCTTCCTCATCTTACGCATAGCCTCCTTAACTTCCTCAAGTTTTAAATGTATAACCAAACAATATTTTACAATAATGTTTGAAAAAAGGAAAAAGTTTTCATGAGCAAACGGCTCCTTAGCAAGCACTAGCCCTATCATTTCCGCACATGTCTTCATGTGATGCCCTTTTTATATTCTTATTATATATGGAGTATGATTGGATTTCAAAGAAAATTTAGAGCACACCCACTCTTGACATGTATCAACACTAAAAACTATAGAGCCAAAGGTAGCAGTGATGCTGCTTTCAGTGCTTGGCTTGTGGGTCATTGCCCACTGTATCACTGAACTGAGGGGACGTTCTGAAAGAGAAATAAAAGAGGGACAGTAGTGGGCATATGTAGAGAAAGAAAGAGAAAAGGGTTGGGCTTAATTTTTGTGTTATGAAAACAAAAAGTTAAAGAATCTCTTTCTAGTTGCTATGGAACAATTAGAAGATTCTTTAGAAGAAATACGGGGTTCTGCTAAATTTGTCTATGTTAGCTATTGTGCTACTAGGCGCATTTAAAGGGGGGAAATGGTTATAATACGAACCTGCTACCTTCATGTATATAATATGATACTATGGTTAAGAATTCATATGTTTCTCTTATTTGTTTTCTTTGGATAAGAAGAAAGATCCTCTACTATATTGGAGGGGTTAACTGCATAGCAGATACTTATGGAAGCTCACATTGTGTAATTTTTATGTTCCTATACGTTAAGCCATTTTATTATGAATCGCTGTTACTCTCATCTTCATGCTCTATTATAATTTTGTATCATGTACGACCAAAATGCTTCTTGTTTTCTATATTTAATTCAACTTCAAGTGTTAATACAGGTCTGAGATTCATGAAAAAATGAGCTGTGACCGCTGCCAACCAGATGCAGTGATGCCAGATGACAACATCATTGCTGAGTTGCACACTCAGGGTCATCAGCCTGATCAAGAGGATATTGGGGCGTTTGCAGGTGTAGCTGGTTGCTTGCATACATTACGAAGCTCAGAGAGGCAGGTTGGTATTTATTTGTATAGTCCAAGTATCAGTTCTGTTATTTGGTTCTCATACAACAAACACCCTTCTCCAGATAGGAGCTCCCAAGGAAGAGGACTTGGCCAGTTGGGGTCATCATTTTTCCCCAAAATCAGTACCAGATGTAATTTTCCAGTCCGCAGCAGGAGATGAGGTAAGCAGAGAGTTCAAATTACTGTTGCATTGAGCTCAGACTAAACCCCTCTCCTCTCATGCCCCCGAGCAACAAAAAAGTAAATGAAGAAAAAAAAGGAAAGAACAGTGAGTCAAACTTCTGAGTTCTCATTTAATGTACTTAAAGATCTATGAAAAGCTAACCACGTGTCATACTCCAAAATTTTTTAAAAAAATTAGTATGACCAGTGGAAGGTATATGGGCAGATTTGGTATTATGTGAGATACATTTTATGATACTATGATATTATATATTGACGCCAAAAGAAAAAGGACAAAAACTTAACCTTCTATGTCCCTCGGGGTCTTGTTTGCTGTTTCATTACATTAAATTGGAATACTCATTTTTCTAATATTTGCAGGTTTCGTTTGTTTTCACTTGCCAAGTGGATGGGAAACTCGTGCCTGTTGAATCAATGCTAAAGTCAAAACAAGAGGTGGAAAATAGAGATTCACCTCATTTCAAAGAAATGCTTATGAGAAAAGCAACATTTTCATCTCCACGTCAAACACCATCACTAAAAACGTTGTCATCAAGCAAGCCGTCTAGTGAGAAAGAGAACTCCCTTCCGAAACAGGATTTGACATTGCAAGCTCAAGCACTGTCAGCATCAACTCCTAATGGAACTTCTATGAGTACATTACCTGCATTTTTTAAACCTTTGCAAAAGCCAAGAAGCAAGTTAAATAGACCTTTAGAAGATACTAAAATATACGAGAAGAGCAAACTCTCTTCCGAGAATCTTTTGCCCAAAAAGAGATTATCTCCTGATTACATGTATGATGATGATTTTGCCTAGAACAAGGCCCTTGGTGTTTTTTCCCCCCATTTGTTTCAGTTTTACCTGGTTACATGCATAAACAATTCCCCAAGCTATCAAACCTGCTATATGTTTCAATTATATCTGGTCCTAATTAATGATCCAAAGTAGCTCTCAATACAGAGAAATTTGATTAATGAAATTATTTGCATTGTAAAATTTGGTGGTTTGGCTAATTCTTCTGGCCTCGATTAAGGTAACATTTCCATTAGTCAATTCTCATGTTTTGCAAGTGTTTTCTAATTTTCCCATTATGACATGTTGGAAAGACACTTCTTGCTATGCCATGCCAAGAAGTTTGTTGATGGGAATTTAGTTGCAGTTCCACACCTTGTAATCCCTCTCTCCACCTTTTGATCTCCTATGTTTTCTATTCCTTTTCCTTCTATGTGACTGTATTATAAGATTTTAAAAAAAAAAAAATACACAAGAAAAAGAAGTTTATTTATGGATCTAGGTTTTGTCTTCAAATAGACAAGCTGAACTTCTAGGATTTCGTTTATCCATAGTATTTGTCCATTTTGATGATTTGGCCTGGGGTAGCAATTCGACAGATTGAGTCAAATTTGTGTGAGTTATAATGGGTCAAGATTCAACTCGATCCAAATTTGCTTAGTCTTAATGTGTTGGGTCAAAGTTAGGCAATGGGTTATAGATGAGTCAAGACTCAACCTAACCCAACAAAGTTATTAAGTTTTTATTGTTTTATTTTCTTTTAAAATAGAGAAAAGACTCAAATATGCCACCAACCTTTGACAAAAGGCTCATTTATGACATCCGTTAAAAGTTTGGCTCATCCATGCTATTTTCATGTCACGACTCAATTTCTCAGGTCATGACACCTATTATATCCCACCAGTAGGTAAGCTTAACCCATAGCCCAACACCAGAAGCGACGGGCTATCTAGCGGAAGAACACATAAAGGAAGCAGGGAATAAATAGCATGGAGAAGAAAGGGAAATAAACAGATTAATACATAACAAGACAATCTCTAGATTTGACATCAGTCGGTAGTCGAGCTTATAATCAAAATAGGAGTACAAGACTTTACCAATACAATAAGTACATAACTATCTCTGAAAGCATAATAAAGATTAGTCCTAGCCAACATAGATGGAGATAGACAACCTGACGTCAGGATCTCACCCCAGTATCTGAATCCCAAAAGCTGCTCCGTACGAGATCCAAATCAACGGCGAGAACTCGTACTATGATCTGTAAGGTGCAAAAGTGTAGTATGAGTACCAACAAGCGGTACTCAGTAGGCATAGGCCGACTGAACTCCAAAGATAAAACAAGTAAATACAACATCTAAATAAGGAAAACACATCACACAAGTATCTATCAAGGAGATATAGCATGATAATACAAATAGTAAGAACAAAGGAATAATGTACACTAAGTAAGAGACCGAGACAAAGGAACATATCTAGAGGCGCAAGCCCAACAACCTAATAACGATAAGATCCTACTACGAAAGTCAACTAACCAAGGAAAGAACCACGGTAATACCGCTACTCAACATAAATGCAACCGAATCAAAGAGCACTAAGATAGGGCAAAACCTACCACTTAAGTAACTAACAATCAATTTGACATAATACACACAATTTTAGTCAAACAATAACCTAATCAGACCTCCATAAGACCGAAGGTACAAACAACAAACATAATTTAACTGCCCCCATAAGACCAGCAGGTGCAAACAACAATCAATTATACTAGTGATAGGCAATGCATATGAATGCACGTAATGTAGTAGAAACCAGCCGAGCCATCAACACAAAGTTCCACACAACCAAGTATGTACACCTACCTCTTGTCCCTGTAGCTAGGTAGGAACCATGCGGCTCCCTCCTCATGTTCAGTAGGTCACACATTCAGAGGGACCCATAGGGGACGGGACAAGTCAGTATACACTGCTTGGTCCCGATCTAGGACTTCCAAATATATATATCCGTCGAATACAATTGTATCCAATCAAAGAGAGGATTTCGAATACAATTGATACATAATACAAAACAGTTGTGCATTAAATAAATACAGAAGACAATGTAAAATAAAATACAAAATAGAACCCTCCCTCCTCCCTATCTGATCTCACTCGCCTCTGCCCTTCTAATTTGTATTCATTGTGATACAAATCCATTTGTATTTATATATTTTTCTACAAAATTTGCAAAAAAGTACAAGAATACAAATGCTTAGCAAATCAAAGTATAACTATAAATTATAATGAGTGAAACTGTAGCTAAAAAATCCTATCATGATATTTGTTGTTTTTGAAAGTTTCCCATATTTAATAACCAGTTGGGAAAAAAAGTGTACTCGCCCAATTTTCCCGTCCATTGCGGGCCGATCCGAATCCGCCCGTTTCTCTATTACCCGAGCTGAGGGGCAGACAAATTGGGTGCTAAGGAGAATACTTATACAAACAGTAAAATGTGGAAAGACAGAGGACCAGGAGTGAAGATCCTCTGGCTTTGGGCCATTGGAACTGCTGGAAGTATACCCTTCCTTCTTCTCCATTTTTTGAGGTTTACCTTTTCCCCCAAAACTTCAGTTTCTTCTTCTTTTTTTGCAGTTTTAGTAACTAGCGTTGTGAGGACCAGACTGCGGGATATGGAGCAGTTTATGAACGCTCAGCAACAAACGCCTGGACCTATTGACTCACCTGCGACAAGCGATAATGATGATCATCAATCATTGAATTCTGAGGATTTCATTCGGGAGGAGAAAGGGTGAATAATAGTCTTGTATGCTATGTGTTTGATGAATTGTCTGAATGGTGATTTTAATTGTTCCTTTACAGAATTTGGAATTATTTAACTCTTTTCAGCTCTTTTCTGGTTTTCCTTTAAATTTTTTATCAATTTGCAAGCTTTTATATGCTGATCATCTTTGTTTGAAAGCATAATACATAAATATGCCCTTTAATCTTTGCTTCCATCGGCATTTACGCCCTCTAACTTTGAGTTTGCACAAGTAGACATTTAAATTTGTATAAAATTGAGCAAATAGACATATTTGTCCTACGTGGCGTCCTACATGATAATTTTGTGTGGTGTCTTACGTGTATTACGCCATGTAGAACGTGTGTGTATATTTGCTCAATTTTATTTAAGTTTAAGTGTCTATTTGTGTACATCCAAAGTTGGAGAGCATAGATGCGGCTGAAGAAGCCAAGTTAAAGAGTATATTTATGTATTATGCCTTGTTTGAATGTTGTATAAAGTAGAACCAATAAATTAGTTGATCGATTTAATTGAGAAGTTATACCCGGTAAAATGGATCTTTCTTGATTTTTAGCAAATCATTCATCTGCAAGTGTAGTTTTTGAAGCTAGGGGTCGTTTGGTAGTTGGTTTGGAGGTGAGTTATGCAGGTATTAAATTCTGTGTAAGTAATACCAAGTTTGATAGTTAGTTAAGAGGTAAGTTATTCATGTATAACTTCATCAACCTCAGTAACCAGACTCTTCTTCCCATGCTATGGATTTATTGCCATTCATATACATTAGACATGCTCCATTGACATTGTTCGGAGTTGCTGAAAATGAGGTTGGTTGTTCACTACTTTCGGTAGGAGGATCTTGTATCAGGTAAGAAACAAAAAAGGAGGATCTTGTATCAAGCTTTATGCTCTGCAGATTTGTTTCCAGAGAAATTGGAATGTCGAAACCATGTAGTAGCCTAGAGCTGTCCATCTTTAATTTGTCTTACCATGAGTTCTATGTTCTGCAAAAGTTGTGGCCTCATTCTATCATACAACATATTCTTGTCATATACATGTTGAGGCTTCATTGAGTCGATATTTGATCTGCCATCAATGAAACTTCACTTGACTTTTGATAGAGTGGCCAGCTAGAAGGACCAGAGAACACAATAAAGCTATAAAAATGCACTCTTCTGATTGTTACCTCTGCTTAGAGAAGGAGATGAACTACTCCAATATTAATATGCAATGGCGTTACTCTGCATTTCCTTAGTATCATAGATCTGAAATAGTAGATAATCTACTTATCAATTTGTTTCTACTGTTGACTTCTGGGATTGTGTATACCTCCTTCATTTTAGAGATTTCGGGAAGGTAGCTAATCTACTTAGCTAACTTGTTTCTAATACAACTTGCCCTCGATTAGGTTTTGGTCTAGTAGTGAGAGCACAATGCATGATGTTTTCGAACCTTGCCACATACAAAAGCCTAGTATTAAGTTGAACAACTGGCTCTTCAGGATTTCTTAGTTATTAAAAGTATAGTGTTTCTAATATGACTTCTCGGTTTGTGTTTTGTGTATTAAGGAAGATACTCCAATGATTAAGTCAGCATATTAACACTTAACCAAGAACTCAAAATGCAGTGGTAGTATCTCACAACACTACAGGAGCTACAAGTGGAAATTATGGAGGTAGTCACTCTAGAATGCTCTCAGCATATGCAACAACTCAATGCCCACGTGGTTTGGTTATTGGTTTAGTATATTTAAAAATCAAAAACCGAACCAATTGATGTGTATGCATATGTCAATATCCCCTTCTAAACCTGATGATTTTGAAAATTCATAGTGTTGAACTTTTAATTAGCTTATTGCATGACCAAATTTTCAAGATCAAAAGTCAAACGTGTTTAGTTCGACTTGGTTCAACACTGAATATATGAATAAAGAGACGCGTAGAGCAGGTCAAGTGCAAGCTAGTTAAAAAACCGCTAACAGTGAAGTAATGAGCCAAATAATTTAAATTGAATGTTAGTATTTTTTCTAAAAAAAAATTAATTTTTAACTTTTAAAATTGAAATTTTTAAACGTAAAGTACTCGACACTATGTACCCTATCAATTTCATATTACTTGACTTGGCACATCTTTTAGAAAAACTTTTTTTAGAGATGTATTTTACTAAACTAATCTTATTAATTATACTTTGAAACTCTGAATTTAACTTACTACTTTATATAATTATTTAATATAAAGGCTAGAAAAAATAAAATATAATAAATTTTCTTTTCTTAATTAAAAAGTAAAATAAAATATCTATTTTTGAATAGAATAAATTTTTTTATCTAAACAATTATATTGATCTAAATTACCAGCAGGTAATTTAGCACATTCCAATTAGGGGATGGACCTATAAATATTTTATTTTATTTTTTTAAATATGAGGGTAGGGCTAAGGGAAAATGAGGTACGGGATCACAGTCTTAATATCTTTTTTTTAAAAAACAGTAAAGAAAATAAATTGGTAAATTTTATCTTGTTTTATTAAATTATATTTATTTCTGACCATTTATATTTCTTTTCTAGACATAAAAGTACATACTTGAGGAATGGTTAATTGGTTACAATCTTGACCAGGAATTTTTTTAGCTATACACTATCTAAATGATTAATACACTTTCTTCGAAGAAAAACAGAAAAATAGATATAAATTAGCCAGACAATTTGAGTACTTAAAATTTATTATTTTTAAAAGTAAAAAAATATTAATTACATTGAAAAGAGTTAAGGAGTTCTAGTGAAATGTAATGCGCCAATCGTACATGGTATTATAAACGCTTCAGTATCCTTCTTTTTTTGTACTAACGTTCTGGTGGCTATGACATTACTCCCTCCGTCCCATTTTATATGTCCTTCCTTTCTATAAATAGCTAGATCATAATACTTGTTATTTTATAAGATTTATGTATAAATTATCATATTTTGCCTATTATACCCTTGATGGAGTAGTTAATAAATCTTGAAAATGTATTCATCATTTATTATAAAGTTGACTTAAGAAAACATTAAATAAGGGTAGAAAGGTAAAGTTACATCATTTTTTAATGCAAGTGCAAAGTAAAAAGGTGACATATAAAATGGGACGGAGGGAGTATTATACTACGGTCTACGGGTGTGTTTGGTAGGAAGGAAAATGTTTTCCATGAAAAATGCTTTCCTAGAAAATGTTTTCCTGAAAAACAAGTAGACTTTGGACTTATTTTCTCATGTTTGGTTGGTGAATAGAAAATATTTTCCGTTAGTGTTTGATTTATGAATGAAAAATATTTTTGAGAAAATATCTTTTATTTTTAAAAATAAACTTAATTTTTTTTTGGAAGGGGTGCAGGACTGATGGGGGCTCACGGGTAGGGGGTGGGTGAAAAAATAAAAATTTGAAATTAAATATATTTTTTAAAAACAAACTTAATTTTTTTTGGAGGGGTGGGGAGTGGGGAGTCGAGGGTAGGGGTGAAAAAATAAAATTTTGAGTTGATAATATATTTTAAAAACAAACTCAATTTTTTTTTGGGGGCCGGGGGGGAGGCTGGCCAGGAGGGGTCGAGGATAGGGGTGAAAAAATAAAAATTTAAAGTTGAAAATATTTTTAAAAACAAACTTGGTGAGGGTGAGGTAAAAAATTAAAAAAATTGAAGTTTAAAATACTTTTTTTTAAAAGCTTTAAATTTATTTTTTTCAAAAGAAAAATTGTAATATGAAGTTGGAGGAGAGTTTTGGAAAATGTTTTTCTTAATTTTTGAAGGGAAGTCATTTTCCTTAATTTGAGGAAAATGAGTTGATTTGGAAAACATTTTCCAAAATATTTTACCCAATCAAACATGAGATTATTGAAAAATATTTTTCGGAAAGTGTTTTCCTTCGTACCAAACACACCCTACAACTTATCTTCTCCTTCAAAGCTCTGTCCTCTTTTTAGTCACTAGATCTTTCATGAATTTGACATAGTCTAGCATCTGTTCTAGCGCTTCGATCAAAGGGACATTTATTGAGAGTTGCTTCCTTCTTTGTACTTTTTATATATAATTTTGAGAAAATGGCCAAATGACCCCCCAATCTATAACCGAATTTCCAACTACACACTTATACTTCACGGGAGTTCTATTACCCCCTGAGCTATTTTAAAGTGAAATTATTTCCTCCCTGAAATGTCATTACCAAGCATCTGTCTTGTTGTTAGGGATGTTCATGGTTTGGAACAAAACCGATCCAAACCGAAAAACCGAACAAAACCGATTAAATGAACCGATTTAATTTGGGTTTTGGTTTGGTTTGGTTTTAGATTGTTAAGAACCGATAGTATTTGGTTTGGTTATGGTTTTGCTCGAAAAAAACCGAACAAATAACCGAACTGAACCAACAAGTTATATACATAAATTTTATTATTATACATACATAATATATTATATTCATAAACAATTTTAAAGATTTTATATATGCTTCATCTAAATTTATTTATAATTTACTTATGAAAGAAAAAATATCCAAGGTGAGAACATTTTTCTTATTAGTTTCATGTATATGAGTGTCTATGTAAATTCTTTGTGGGACTGAAAATGTCATTGACTCTTCCTTCTATGCCAAAATAGTGAATTTTGAAGTTTTATTCATTAAATTCAATGATTGAAAGTTCTGTAATGCCAGTCATTCTAACTATTTTTTCGTTTGAATGGATTGTTGTCACTTTTTTCATGTTTTGAATGAATTGTTTATTTTAGTTTTATGTATGGTTAGTAACCGAATAACCGAACCAAACCAAACCAAAGCCGAAAATAGCCAAACCGATAAATGTATATTATATTTGGTTTGGTTTGGTTTTGATAATTTTAAAACCGATTAAGGTGGTTTGGTTTTGATTTTGACCAATAACCGACCCAAACCAACCCGTGAACACCCCTACTTGTGGTGAAATACACACACTTGACACGTGTATTTCACCATTTAATGATTTTTTTTAATAAAAAAGTTCTCCTCCTTTCTTTCTTTCTTCCCAATCATTTCTTCAACCCTAACTATACTAAACACCATTTTTTACCTCAACAAATTTATATATCTCTAACATTTTATAAAAACGA